TTGGAATAAAAGCAAAAGAACACAAAAATTTATACACACTACACAGACCAGCCTTTAAACACAGCCTGTCATATTAATAACTAATTCCACACAGAAAGACTTAGCATTGACAGCAGTGTTAATCCATAATAAATTTTTGGAGATTCATGAATCCTGATCAAAGACACAGCAGAACTAACTGCAGTTATCTGCAGTTGTATTATCTGTATGTTTTGAACTCCTAAAATTTTACAGAGAGGAGAACTGTACTATTATGTGGATTGTTCCCCATAAGTACTTTTTCCATTCTCGACATGTCTCTTCAACCTAAACAATACCAAGTCAGAACACTGAGGTCAAATTTTGAAGCTATTCACTCTTGGCACTCTGCAAGCATGGTTTTGGGCGGCCTCACTGCTAATCACAACTGGGAAACCGTGACAAAACGGGGGAAATCTGGGAAGGGCTGACAGCTCAGTTCTCAAGGAGTTCTCCTGAAGAACTTCTGCAAAAAGTAGACACACATTCTTGAAGGATGAGAAATGCTGCTTTTCCTATAAGTATGAAAACCATAAACTTCATTCAAGTATTTTGAATAATATTCCACCAGATATTCTTTCCATACAAGCATAGTGGTGGTGAAATAGATTTCAGTGTCAGTTTGATATCAGCTGCCAGACTGTAAGTTCATATGGCCTCATATACTTTGATCCTCTCAGGAATTACTTTGTCCCCTCTCTTGTCTCCTTATGAAGACTTGCACATCTGCTACACAAGCATAGAAAGGAGCCATCTAACTGCTACAAAAATAGATTCATCTGTGGAATTCTAGCATCCAAACCAGACAATTACTATGTTACTCTACTGCAAGCACAGCAAACAGCACTATACACCTACTTACAATACTTACTTACTGTAAGATCTGGTTCCCTCCCACCTAAACATCACCACAGAAAATCGTCAGCAAATTCAAGTTAAAAGTAAGATTTGACAGTGACCATATAAAACACTCAGAGAAAGCCCATGGACACTGCTACTGTTTTCAACCACAGAATTTCCATCTAATAGAAACAATCTCAGTAATTGCAGCTACCTCAAGTCCATACCAGTGGCATTTAGCATAACCACCATATAAATACTAATAAATAAAACCACCATATCATTTTAACCCAGGATACAGAGCTTTAGATACCAGGGACCAGTCAAAGTCTGGCTGCTCCTCTGCAAACCGTCTCTTTAAGAAGTACATGGCCATAGTCAGAGTTACAGTTTTTCCTTCCCATGCTTCCACAGGTGGGCCACTTTTTTTCTGAAATGAAATTTGCAATGATGTAACCTTTTCCTGGTGACTGTCGTGTGTCTCCCCTGTGCTTACAACTTCAATCCCTCCCAGGTTTAACATTATCCTGCAGAATGCAACTGCCACCCCTTAACACAACTTAATACTTGGAAGCCAGGATGCAGCCCATTGCCACAGGAGTTACACGGGCCACAGTTTTGGAAAAAAACACAGCAAAGTAATTATTTTTATTAATGCTCTAACACTGATGAACAAATGCTGCAAACACTTCTCATGAGAATGGCCCAATGAGGCATTCAGTGTTCCACAAACAGTCTCACTTTACTGTTCACTGCTTTACCTTAACCAGAGAGGTACTTTCAGCCCCAGACTCCTACATGCAAGTAGAATGCCATGTGCATTAACTGCTGTATATGAATGACAGCTGGTATGCAGCCACAGCCGTATCCTCAAGAATCATTTTTCTCCTTTTTCCAGACAGAATCGGAATATGTTTGCTGTCTCCAAACTCACATTCTTAGGTGGGGAGATGACGGGGAAACTCAGCTACTTTTCTCCTCCCAGCATCAGCAATTCTCTATGAAAAAACTGATTTTAAAAATTTTCTCAGGAATCTCTTCAAAACAATCAATGAACCGGTCACAATATTCCTTCCATTGCATGTTTCAGGACAGGCTGGCAGTGTGCATTGGCCAAAGTAAAACCGGTAAAAGTGTAAAATGTCTCAGAAGGGATAAGGGGGAGAAGCACACTAAAACTTCTTGGATCGATAAGGCAGAGGAAAGGGGAAGGGCACTGCTGAAGTTCTCAGCCAACGATGGTCATACTGCCCAACAAACCAGTTGATTAAAAAGAAGTTTGCAGCAACAAGCAAGCACCACGGGATGGGGGGGGGGGGGGAGGGGAAGCGGGGGAAAGGGAGGAGGAGAGGAAAGATAGAAAGAAAAATTAAAAAAAAAAAGGCAGGGAAGAAACTCAAAACCCAACAAGTTGCCCATGGAGGGAAAGCCAAGTCGGCAACTGCCTGCACACGCACAGCCAGGGATTTCAACATGGGGCTGCGGGAGGCCGGCGCGGGCGGCTGCCGGGCCCCGCCGCGGGCCGGGCCGGCGCCCCCCGCCCCCCGGGGCGCCGCGGAGCGTCCCGCGGGCGCGCAGCTTCCCCCGCGGGGCAGCGGCCGCGGAGGAGCCGCGGAGGAGCCGCGGGCGGCCGCGCTGCCGCGGGCCCATCGCAGCCTCGCCCGGCGCGGGGGGGCGGCCCGCGGGGCGCCGCCGGACGCCCCTGCGGCGGGGTCCCCTCGCACCGCCCTCCCCGCCGGGCCTGGAGGGCCGGGAAGCCTGGAGCTGGATTTCCAGCCCTCCGCGGCGCCTCGGCCCCGCCACCCGCCCCGGGGCAGACCCGGCACCGCCGGCCCCGCGCTGCTCTGCCGGCCGGGTTCGGGCGGCTCCCGCACCGACACCCCCGGGGGCCGCCGGGCACCGGCGAACAAAGGGCCGAGGCCCGCCGGGCGCCCGCGGGGAGCCGCGGAGGGGCCGCGCTGGCCGCTGCGGAGGGGCCGAGCCCCCCCGGCCCCCGCTCCCCGGCGGCGCCGGGCACACGCTCCCCGCAGGCTCCGCCGCCGCCGCCGCTGCCCCCGGCCCCGCTCCCGCCGCTTGCCCCGGCGGGGCAGCCCGGACTTTCCCCCTCGCTTCCCTCCCCGCTCCGGGAAGCGCCATATTGATCGCGGGCGCCGCTCCCCGCGCCCCTCACCTTGGCGATCGCCTTCTTGTACCGGGTCACCGCTTGCTGGATCAGGCTGAAAACTTTCATGTTCCCGTCCCCGCAGGGCACGACCACCCGCGTCCTCCCGAAGCACACCGTGACTTTCATCCTGTGCGGCCGGGGGGCTCCCGCGTCCCTCCGGCCCCGCGCAGCCTTCCTCCACCTCCTCCTCCTCCTCCTCCTCCTCCTCTTCCCCTCCGCCCTCCGCCACGGCCGCCCCCCGGCGGGGCGCGGCGCTCAGCCCCCGGCCGCCGCCGGGCTGCCGCTGCGGCCGCCCTGCCTCTGCCCCGGCTTCGCGGCCGGCCCGGCGAGGCGCGGGGAAGGGAGGGCAGCGCAGGACGGGGGCCGGTGCTGCCTTCCCCAGGGCCGGGGGCTCTCACATGCCGCGGCGCTGCCCGCGGCCACCTGCTCGGCTCCTGCCCCGGCGCGCAGCGGCGGCGGGCGGGGCGGCGGCGCTGGCTCCCGCTCCGCAGGCGTGGGGCGGTGCGGCGGGGCGGGGGCAGCCGGCCGCTCCGCGGGGCGCGGACGGGGCGGGGGAGCCGGCGGGCCCCGCACACGGTGGGAGCGAGAGCCCCGAGCGAGCCCGAGGTGGTGCGGCTGCCCCCGCCTCGCTCTGCCCCGCCGCGGACCGGGGATGCGGAGCCGGGGTCGCACCGGCACAAGGAGCCCCGCGAAGTCCTGGTCCCGGTGCACGGGGGGAAACGGGCGCCGCCGCTGCTCCTTCTCGGGGCGCTGCCGCCCTGCCTCAGGTACGCGGGGCCGGGGAAAGCAGGGCACGGCACCGCAGAGAAGGCTGGACACCGCGGTGCTCTGCTGTTCCTCCCGGTGTCCGGGGCACACAGCCGCTGCTCACGGCCGAAATCAGACGGCCTTCCTGGTCTTTCGGGCATCTGTTAACGCAACAGGACCAGCACTGTGCAAAACCTCCTGCATCATCAGTAACACCAGCATCAATGGAACCGCTGAGCAATCTCCTCCGCAAAGCCGTCAGAAGTCATAGGGGTTTACAGATATCGTTCACTGTTTTCCACGGATTTCATTGAGGACAATGGAATTGCACAGTTCATTGGTCATTCAGTGTGGCCTGACAATATATATCTTTTGTGTAGAAATGGTAAAACAATTTAACTAGAGTGAAAACAGAGTTTGAACGACAGGAAGGCAGTGAAAAAAACTTTCTTCTTCTTTTTTCTTTTCTTTTTCCTGAACACACAGCACTAAAGATGTGAAATTCAAGTAAGCTTTGTAGCACATAATGTCAACATCCTTCTACAACACCGGACAACTCAGCACGTGTCCTCTGGTGCTCCCTGCCCGGCAGCTGTCCCAGCTGGCAGTCTGCTCCTGTTCCCTTAGCAATAGTATTAGTAAATTTAAGAACTTCAAACCTGGTACAAATGGCAAAGCTGTCTGCGGTTTAGTAGGTACAGAGGTATGGAGCAGAATTAATGATGTTTTTAAAACATCAAAGGTAGAATTATTGCCCTGTTAAGTCAAGGGTGAGAATGGCATCCCTAACCCTTTGCATTCTAGTTAGGAGTTTCCAGTATAGAAAATGGAGGAGTCAGTTTATATTCATTTGGTTCCATGAATAATGTCCAATTTCATTAAAATCTACAGAGCCTTTTCTATTAATTTCAGTTTTGGAAAGCTTTGGGGCACTCACAAGATCCAAGAATCCATTTGCTGACCTACAGATAATTTTTAGCTTAGATGCCAGTTTTATTAGTTACCCACCTGAGTTATCTGGACTAATATATATGAATTTAAATAAGAAACAGTCTTTTAAAGCAGGAAACAAGCACACCTGCGATGTTGTATTTTGTCATATCCCCAGTGTTCACTTGTGTGGAATAAAGGCAGCATGCATGAGTTCAGAAAGGCAGAAATAAAATAAAACTGGTGTAAACAGTTTACAGCTCATGACTGAGACAACTGAGTACATTCTGCAGTTTTATGGCCATAGCTCATCAAGTTTATTATGGGAGAAAGATGAAAATATCCTCTAACCCGCAGCTTCTGTGCTTTCTAGGTGATCATAAGAGCTGCTGGGAAAGGATGAAAGAGCTATAAATCTTTGGTTTAATATACATCACTTAAGAAACTTGCAGAAAGGACTGTGAAAATGTGAAGTCAATAGAGGCTCTTCCCAGGCTGTTTTTAACAAGAATTTTACTATGTCATAGACTTTGTAATGTTTCACATTCAGTTGTCATTTATATTTATCTGCGAAAACAAAATGTTGCATATTAGAAGTTCTTCCACACTGCTCTAAAACTTGATATTTATAAGGCTTAATACTCTTGCTGGTTGATAGTAACTATTTCACTGTTCAGACACAGCTACAGGTTTTTCATGTTTTTCTGTGATTTAATTCCTGCTCCTACTGTCTCTAACAAGTTGCTTGGCAGTTTTCCCAGCTGTTCCAACAGTCTCCTGGAAAAAAAAAAAAAAAAAAAAAACTCCAACAGTTTAGAAAGAAATATTGATAGTTTTTCCATTAAATGTGTGAAACGGGAAAATTCAGTAATGAAGTACAAGAAAACAAGTCTGTCCTGGGATCTGATTTAAGGCCAAAACTTAAAGACTTGAACATGAATAGTGATAGACCTAACAGGAATGAGAGCCTCCAAGATTTGAGTTTCTTCCTCACTAGATACACACACAAGTTATACATACATCATTCTGAAAACATTTAAAATAAAATTTACCACATATAGTGTTTGTTTTGTTCTTCCTTAAAAGCAAGAATGAACTTTAAAAAAAAAATATAACAAGGCTGTGAGATTGTTTGAGGCCTAATTATGTAAGGTAAATGAAGTATAAAACATTATTATAAGAGATTATGAGAAAAGGATTATACTAATCAGGAGAAGAATTGGCAAGAGTTGCTGGTTTACAAAAATTACAACTACTATCCACGCTGCAATATGGGTGGCACATATATGGTTCTGGATGTTGAACTTTCCTGGGCTAACAGACCACAGAACCTGTCAATTCATTTATTAATGGTACCCTGCTGGAGGATTTCCATGAAAACATCATCTGTCTTGCAGGAAGACGTAGGTGGTGGAGCATGGGATGGAGAGAATCAAAGCTGCTAATGATCACTAGTCAAGTTTTGTTCAAAACAGCCAACCAGTTGAAAGCCCCTGCTGCAAACATGCAAGGAGTAAGGATCTTGCAATTAAATGCAGATTATCAAAAGCCTTTTTTATGGGAATGTTAAAGTATTCAGACAGTGGAATGATGCTGATTTCCAGAGTTATCTCACAGTTTATCCCATCTTTATACTCTACATCAGAGAATTTTTATGGAATAATTCTGGATGTGTTCAGGTTTAGTAGTCTGTTCATGGCACACAGATATTCCCTGGTTTCATAAGAAAACCCCAACTCCAGGTAGAGTATGTATTAAGTTCACTCTATTTTAAATACAGATATTTCCTTAAGCCCATTAAAGTTCATACAGTACTATAGAAAGACCAGTGTCAAACTGAACAGCAAGAGTATTCCTTGAAGAATTACAGTTTTTTTTTTTTTTAAAAGCACCATTTGTGAAAATGCCTTAGGGATATACCAAACAGTACTAGGTTTTAATGATTTGAGATAGCTACCTGCTGTAACACTTCTGCTGAGTTATTAGGTAAAGCCTTAAGTTCCTTTTCAAAATTCTGAATTTAAAGTTCTGAGTTGTTTACATTTTACTCTGAGGTAGAAATTTAATCAAAGTTTCCATGGATAACCTTTCATCTATAGGAATGCATTGATTTCTCAGCTGTTATATTTTGTGACTTTTTTCCTGCCATACTGATGGTTCTTCCACAAAGAAGTAAGGGAGTGTTTCCCATCATTTTCTTTTATGATTGAGAAAATCATTAAAGCTTCTTAAATAATTGTGGCTAGCCCTGGTCTGGGGAAAAAAATATAAACTGAATAAAAACTTATTTTCTATTTCGCAAAAGGGTCTGGGATTTCAGGACTGAAAAGCCCTCAAATCAGTAAAAGGTAGTTAGAGAATCACACATGTATTAATTTTAGACTTAGGGGATGCAGACACACAAATTTGGGAAGACAAGAACTTTCCTTGTGGTATAATAGAAGAAGGAAATTGTAGCAAAGAACAGTGTATGGTTTTCAAGAAAAGCCACAAGACTGTTACCCTTTCCAGGGGCTCCAACCTGGAAGGTGTTTAGGGCTAAAGAATGAGTATAGGTAAATTCACTACTCTTTTTTCTTGAATCTATACTGGTCTTTTGCTGTTTTTAAAAGAAATTATGTTCGAGGAATTTGAATAGTTTTCTTGATAATGCTTGGGTGGTTTTCACCATCATGGAACTATTTAAATGGAATTGCTTTATCTAACTTATATCAACTAATGGCTTATTGAGCTGAGATCTGGGAAGGCCTGAAATAAAATATATTGAGTTACTTCTTGGTTTGGGCCCTTAAAGGCAATCCACAAGTAAGGAAGCAGAATCATTAGAGGTCTAAAAAGTGAAAAACATGAGCTGTATGAAAAGAGTGAAGTTACTGGAGGTGTCCAGAGCACACAAGGGGGCATTGCCAGGAGATACCAAAATAATCTTTGTGTGCGCTAGAGCTATGGAATGTCATAAGGAAAACATTGACACCAATTGCTTTAGCCTGCTCTCATACCACACACTGTATTTATGCTATGGGCTGAACAGAATTATGTTCACATAATGATACAGGTTCTGAATGTCCTGGTACTGCAAAGCACAAATCTAAGTCACATATTGGAGCTGACCATCTCCTTTTATTTGCCCTTAGGGCTATGGGGAATTTGTAAGCCTGTGCCTGCCATGAGGGACACCCACCACAGGGACTGCACTGGGAGGAGAATGATCTGTCACCTTCTCTTGTGCCACAGAGCTGTTCTGCAGCCACTGAGGCTGTTCTGCAGGATCCAGCCACCCTAGGGCTTGCTTTGGGGATATGAGGTTAGTTATACCCAAAGCCCATCATCAGTTATAGTTTCAGCAAGCTTTACAGAGGAAAGGAAAAGAGAGAACAGGAACACTGAATGTCAACAGCTGAGCCCAGAAAATCCCTGCAGAATTTCACAGGACAAAGAAGAAGCACTTATACAGATTTGGAATTTTATCCCTGACCAGTTTCAAAGGGAAGCTGCAGGCATTCAGTCATCAAAGCTTCCTAACACCTAAAAAATTAAAAACTAAACACAATATTTTCCACTATGGAAAATACTAGATAATCTAAGTAGAGGAGTCATTGCTGCCTAGTCCTATATTTAACACAAACATATAAGCATATAATCAGTGAAATGAAATTTGTAGCAACTTTTCAATTACTAGCAACAATTAAAAATTGTAAAAATAAAGCTGTTAAAAACAACAGAATTTAAGAGATTTAAAAGCAGCATCAGAAATCTAGGTGAACCTGTTTAATATACAGAAGACTGAACTAAAGGGTACTTATAGAATATATGATATTGAGACTCTAGGATGTCCATTTCAGTTTTGTCTTAAAGCTTGTAGAAGCCTGGTACTTCCTTGAAAATGTCAGAAGTTACCTTACTTTTAAGTCTCACCTATAAAAGCTACTTGGAGACAGTTTGTTTCTGATGAGAATTTATTGGATGTTTTCCTTCTTTTTTTTTTTTTTTTTTATTTTGTTCTGCCTGTCCAGAAGTTTGCTCTTTGCATTTCTTTCAGCCTTTCAGTTATTGATGAAGTTCTTGGCACAGATTTCCAAGTTCTGAAATACAGAATACAGAGTTCCAGTGACTAAAAAAGGCTTGTGGAGTCTTTTCCCTGACTTCTGTGAGCTTTGGATCAAACCCTCAGGCCTTATCAACTCTACCAAAATAACGAATAAAAAATACCAACACAGAGCTACAGTACTGGGCTCATTTGTCAAGTACTTGCCAGAGGTGGAACAAATTCAGATACTGCCAGAGGAACCCATTTGCTGAAGAGAAGCTATGCCAAATTATTGCCACTATCAGGTTTTATCTATTGATGAGCATTCCTGAAAAAATACCTTCCTGTGACATGAAGAGGAACACCCACGGGATATGTTAGTCAAAAGGCCTATCAAAACATGATAGAACATATATTCCACCACACAAATTATTCATGTGGTTTATAAACATATTAAGGATATATTTCTCAACTGGTGTTCCTCTTTAGGAATCTGTTTAATTTTACATCCTGTCCCCATCCTTGTTGGACTGAAAATGAATGGGAGAGCGGCATGGCTTTCAAAAACACATTATCTTGATATTTTCAGGAAAACATTGATAAAGCTTGAAGGGAAATATATTCCTTGCTCAGCTTCTCCCTGTGTTGATGGTAACAGGGAGGACTGCACAGGGTAAGGATATTACAGCAAAGACTTTCCAATTTGCACAGGAATTTAGAGGGATAAAAATACAGACATGCACTTGGAACACATTCATCTCTGTTACACATGCAGTAAAATACACTCCTGATGCAAACACATGCTATCACTCCTGCATAAATATTTGCTCCTGAGCAAAGTCCCATGGCACCTGCAGAAAGCCTTTTCTAGGGCACAGGCCAGCAGTGAAGTGTCAAAGCATGCAGGACCAGCAGGGAATGTGTTACACATTTCCTTGCAGGGAGTGTGAGTAGGATCTACACAGTCTCCTTCACTGCTGCAGCAGAACTACTCACTGAAAACTTCCAAAAATCTCCAAATACATGCTATGACCAGAATCAAGTACTCGAAAGAGGAATGGGGCAAAAGCAGACAGCTGAAATTTGAACACTGCTTTTAAGATAGTTCTTGACTTAGAGGAGACAGAATAAGAAAAAAAAAAATCAGAAAGAGGTGACACATTAATCTGTTTCACTCTATGATTTCTCATGTTTTCCTTTCATTAACCTCAAAATCTTATTTCTTCCCCTCCTCTTTTTCTATATTTTATTCTCTTTTCCATGCTCAGTCCCACTTCTCTTTCCATCTCACATCCTTTTGTTGCCTTCCCTTCTTGTTGTCTTGCTTAAAAGTATTTGCAGCTGCTGAAATCAGTAAAAAGGAAGACTCACATGAAATAGGAGAATCCCCAAGAGTTAAAATACATGACATATTGTGACATACCACCAGTAATCTATTTAATTCAAGACTGAAAAGATTATGACAGTAAGTGGGTAGGTTTTCCAAAATTCAGTACAGTGTTATATAGCACAAGGATGATTTAATTCCTCACAAAAGAAGCCCAACAGCTTAAATTGGTCTGCAAAGTTTCAAAATGTGTAATTAAAGCCAAACTGTCTTCTCTAATGCACAGTCAACTAACTAGCCCTGGCAGAGGTAGGATATCAGGCCCATCTAGGGGCAACAGGTGAGTAGAGCTGAAAGCAATGAAAACAAAATCACTTGATTGGGTTTTAATCTGTTGTTGACTGTGATAGCACATGGAGCACACTGCAGGAGTGTGTCTGTGGAGAGCAGCAGTAGGTAGAACACCTTGAGGACCACAGCTCAGTGCCAAAAAGAAATCTTCACTCAGGTCTGATCTTGTTTCACTGGGCAAAAAGGCCCTTCAGCACTGACATTCCAGGGCTCAAGGAAACATTTAGGAGTGTCTTTAAAAACCAAGATTTCCCACATATTATAATTACAGAATGGTCTTCAGGACCACACCTGAGCACAGGTCCTGCTACTGTCAGCAGGGGCTGTGTGTTTAGATTTGAGAGAAGAATTTAAAGCAGATTAATTCATACATCCAAACCAAAACAGATAGATCAGATGGACAAGACTAGCTCTACCAATCTTCCTGCAGCTGGAATTAGCAACTCAGGAGCCTTCTAATTTGCCAAAGTTCACACTGTGGCTCCACACTAATCCAGCTGACACTGCACCTCCATTTATCATGTCATCTGTTCTAGGATTTCAGTTTATTCTAGGTTTAAAAACTGTTCCTTCATATGGAGTAAGTGTGCATTATATATACCTCAGTAAGTTATTAAAGTTTATATTCTCTTTTGGAAAAAAATATTACAAATAAATTACTAATAACTTAAATTATGTCTCAGATTGATGAGTTGAAGTGCAGAGAGTCACTAGTACAGGATACTGCTTCATACAAAAATACAGTGGAAATAAAACACTGATTCTGGTATGCAAGGGCATAATACCCAAAGAAGCTATAATTGCTCTCAAGGACTCAAAAATTGTCATTCTCACACCACAGAAATTACAGCTTCATCTATTTCCAGCAAAAATCCAAAACACAGCTCCATACCAGCTACTGTGAAGAACATTAACTTTACCCCAGCCAAAACAGGGAAGCCGACAGAGTTTAATTACATATAGGCTCTGTGCTTTCTTTCTCACAAGATTTATCAATACACTGCTAAAGTTTTTCAACCTTTTATCTGCAGATTCCAATACTTATTCAGCTGTGAAATAAGAATGCAATGAATGCTGTTTTCTCTATACTTTTTCCACCTGAAAAAGATTTCAAAGTCTAAAGCTACTGAGCAGTGATGTGGAGGGAGCCCGTGTTTTTCAGTTCTCACTGTTGCAAAGTGCAGGCTGCGATGGACACAGGTACCTTAAAGCTGGAGAGGAACAGTTTATCCTGCCTGGGGATTTCTCCACCTCACTCCTGCAGGTCACTGACCTCAGAGGCAGATGAGACACTCTGAATCACTCACAGTGTCCCAAGGCACCTGAAATGGCCAACGCACAGTAAAATCCCAGTGACTAAACTGGAGCAGCTCAAGAGTTGCTGTTTGTGTTGCTGACTTGTCCTTGTCCATGGCAGGACACAGAGCAGTCACTAGTTACACTTTGGGCTGCCTGTTCCATGAGGGTGTCCTTTCTGTGAGGGCATCTGGTTTTGTCTTCTAATATTAATAACTCTGATATTTCATCCTGCTTCTTTCAGCACTGTGGGGAGCCATTACAGACAGCACCCTGTCCTGGACAGAGCCTTTCACACCCTTTGAATTGCATGGTTCAGACAAAGGAGAAGGTGTTAGCAATGCTTGAGAGTCATCTATGCAAGTCTATCAATTGAAATTTTCCAAAACACTGAATATTTACTACTTACCGGCTGTAGATCTCAACCTGGTTTAGATATAGAAGGAATTTTTAGCATATTTAATGTGTACTTGACATCCACTTTCACCTTTCTCTTAGATTTGCTTTAATTTTTTCTTAACTGCAAGCAGCATATGTGAACATTTCTTTTTTTCCTATTGGCAACGTTCTATAAATTTCTTATGTTTTTTTTTACAGTGTATTAATTCTGAAAGTTAACTGTCGCCACATATTTTCATATACTTTGATCTCTACCTGTGCTAAAAGCACCTAGGTTGTATAAAAATTGAAAAAATGTATTCTACAAATTTACCTTATAATTTGATGGGTTTTAGCTCAGTCACATAAGCAATGAAATTCACAGTAAAACAGCTGATTTGAATGCCATGTACATGGGCAAATTGGTAAAGGTAAGGTAGTCAATGTGACTGCTCATACATTACATGACTTAGGTCAGTACTTAACCTCCTAATATTTGCAGAGGATTACACCTCTGCCACAAAGCCCACTGGTTAAATAACAGCCTCATCAGAGAGCTGTGTGCAGGGAGTGATTTTTTCCTGAGACATTTTTGGTTTGATCTCATCTTCGGTCAGATCCTTCTATTCATGCACCTGTTCAAGATTGGGGTTTTTTCAGACAATTAATGTCTAAAAGGTGTAGATCTCTTCCTTCTTCCATACTGCCTAGCACCCTATTTTGCATATAGTAATTACCTGAACTTGTTCTTCTCTTGTGATGACTGCAAATTTGGATTTCTGCTGTTCATCATGAAAATATTTTATATATTTTGCCCACCTTTACAGGACAGCTTTGTATTCATGGCATCTTCAGTTTTAATTACTATGCACCGAATATACTTTCTTGTCTCTTTTAATGTCTCAGGCTTTTAGGATATGATAACTTCTTCTAACTTCTTCTAGTTGCATATTTCTCTGTTTCATCAGATCATAACTTCAGCTATTCCCTTTGACATTTTTTCAGCTTTTTTGTATTGCTTATGCAATATTGATATTCCTTTTTCTATTTTTGTTTTCTCTTTATGTATAGTGATCCATTATCTATTCAATAATTCACAGCTGCTTACTAAATAAGTCTTTTCATCCCTAATACAAACACAAAAACACACCCAGCTGAGGGATGAGAGAGCTGTGTATATAAAGCCCTTGCAGGAGCTTCTTTTTGCTAACACTGCAGCTCTGGTCTGCCATCACTACCATGAATTCTCTTTCTGCTCATCTTTTTAAATGCAGCCTTCTTCTCCTTTGGCAGTTTTTTTCCACTCTAAATATTACTTGAAACTAATCACCAGAGCTGAGAAATAGCCATCCTTGCACCAAGCCACAGTCCTCTGTGTCTCCCCTTTAATCACAGTGCCCACAGAAGGGACACAAAACCAAATATCCAGACACATGGGCTGAGGGGGCCTTTCCCTGAGGCTGCACAAGTAGAAGGATCCAGCCCTTTCTCTGCAAATGCAGAAGGATAAACTCGGCTGTAATTGTTGGCATCATTAGGAGACTCCTCACTGGCACTTGTGGAACTAATTGTAAAGCCCTGTTTTAGTGCGTGGGAGGCTGGAGATAATTTTAGTGATGGTGAAAAGTGCCAGACTTATCAGATATGGGAGATGTTGCTCTAGATTTCCCTTGAGTAGTGCTTTATGTCTACTCTAACTCAGTGGAACAAAACATTACTGGTTTGACTGGAGGGGGGTTGATTTAATAATTGTTAGCACACTTGTTTGGCAGCACGAATGACTAGGCAAAGTTTTCTCTTCACAGAACCAGTACTGTATAGGCAGAAGGATTAAGAGCATCATTTTACTGGTGTCTGCCTATTCTGCTGTGGAGTTAGCACTTCCGTGCACACAAAATTATTTAATATATCTTTGGTACCACAGCTAAAGAAATTAATAAGCTTTCTTATACATCACACCAGGGAAGCCATTAACTTGTTATTGTAGGACACAAATTCAGCTCTGAATAGTCTTCTGTTGTACTTTCTTGAACACAAATTCACTTTTTTAGTATTTACAAATTCTGGAAAGGCTTAGGGGAAAGTGCATATTATGTTACCTTACTAACCAGAGACAGGATAGCTATTTGAAACATAATTTTTGGCATTCCCCACAGTATTTTGATAATTGTAGTGAAAACTTTAAACAAATAGATTAAATGCAGTATATTTTTCTATCATTGAACTCTGGGGATTGTATTGAAGGATGGAAGAAGAATATATGGGGTTTTGCACTGGAGCTTCCACTGGTCAAAGAACACCATCCAGCCATTGGCGCTGTTTGGAGCTGTCAGTCAAAGCTTTTCTGATGTGAAATATAAGACGTATCAGAGCTATCAGTTTCACCAACCACAGCAGAGGGTGTTGGTGGTCATTTTCAGTAAAGGTGTCCGCATGACAAAGCCATCAGTCCAGCAACCTTCACTTACAAGAGAACACATTTCCAACTGATCTTTAGCATCCACAGTGGAGTGGAATGGATCCCTCATGAGTCTGACTGCCTTCACACTGCAGGAAGATTTGGCTCACTGTCATGAGGCTCAGGCTCATATTCATATTTGAATATCTCTGCTCTAAGGATTACACTGCCTACCCAGGAGTAACTCACACATCCAGGTAGTCCTGCCCTCCCTGGGGGCAGATGTTCCTCTGGACTCCCGAGCTTTGTTCCATGAGCTGCCTAATCCATTTTACTCTTCCAGCTTCCAGCTGTGCAGATATTCTCTGCAGTTATTTTATAGAAGCATTTCACCTGATGATGAAAGACATCTGGTAAGGCACCACTGTCCTCTAGAAAATACAGCCAAACACCTCCCTGCCAAAACCCCAATCCATTATCTTAAGCATCTGCTTTTTCTCCTGCAACCCAGAGAACAATAAGAATCTCGGAGGCTGATAAAACTAGTTTTCTTCTTCCTCTTGACATCTTTCTCTCTGGCCAAAATCTTCTCTTGCCAAAAGCAACTTGGACACAGGCTTTGGACTGTCTGCCCTACCTGCCTGCTCTAACCTCTCCCTGGAAATGCGATGATTTCCCATCTGACCATGTTAATATCTGTAATCAAGTGGGCTGAATAGGAAGAGGAGCTACAACTTTTCTTTATGACACACAGCTTCCATTCCATGTATCACTACCCAAAATAGAGACACATATAATAGGACTAGTTTCTTTAGTATTATTTTTTAATGTTGGATGAAGAGGAATTGGAAATTCATGAAGCTGAGAGAACAAGCAATAGAAGCATATAAGAATGTATGGTCCCAGAAAAAGCCTCACAAATAGGCTTGAGTAAGCCCAAAATAGGATTTAGATCTGAAAAACTGTGCTGTTTAAGATCTACCCTATAGTAGTGGAAAACAAGACTTTGATTATAAATAAACAGGACTGTGCCACAGACACACCTTATTTCATCACCAGTTTCTCATCAGACTATGAAATAACCCACAGCACTGAACTTGACTGTTCATGTCAACCAGAAGAGTCCAGCATGTTTAAAAGATAGATAACTGCAAATAGTAAAGATCCTTAGCAGTAACCTGAATTCACACAGCTTTAGTAACTACTTCACTCAGCCTGTTTTTAGATCCAAGCAGAGCTGGCAGAAGAGAAAAATACCTCAGCTCTGGAAGCCAAGGGCAAAGAAACAATGTGGGGAACAAAATGAAAGTTACCTCGTGAATGGCAAGTTTTGGCTTGCTTCTAACTGCAATAAGAAGGCAAAGTGATTCACTCTGGCAAAGTTTTCCAGCTTGAGGAGCTTGAAATAATACAACCACCCACCACAACCTACTGCCTGTGAGTGAGCTCAGGGAGGGGGCCAAGGGCAGCCTGAGAGTATTGGGGTGATATGAGAAAAGTAGAAATGGAAAGCTCATCTCCAGCAGGGTAGAAATAAATGTTGGCCTCCTGGGGAGGAGGGAAGAGAGGTAGTAGCAATGGCATTGCATTCTTGTAAAAATAAAATTGAGTTCTGTGAAAGAAAAAACATTCTGCTCTTACACAGACGTCAGAAGATGAATGTTTGTGTGTGCCATGTGGCACTGCACCTTGGAGTAATTGCCAGGTCACCATATAAAATCTTCATTTTGTCAGCTGCTGAAGGAAGGTATATATTTTAGAGGTGGGTAGGAAAGGTGGCATGACCTACCTGTGGCAGGCTAGTCACAGAGTGAAAAAGAAACCAAAATAAAGCCGATATTGATTTTCTGCCTGAGAGTGGTTAATATTTATCTAGATGTTCAAACTGGATCAGGCTGCAGCTTATAAAAACTTGGCCAACCACAGCAAGATTTTCCAACAAACCTGTTAACATTTTTCAAGTACAGACACGCTGATACAACTTAAAAGAAAGGTACAGAATTGCAAGTCTCATTACTGTCACTTAAATAAAACCTCCAAGACAATTAATTATGTGTGCATACTTCTAACTTTGTCAAAATGTATGCAATAGGTAATAAATTTTATTTTCTTAACGTATATTTAGGTGGGCACAACAAAGGTTTTTTTTATTTTTACTTCCAAATCACTTATCACTAAAATCATACTTTGGCCCCAGGCATTTTCCTCATTTCTTTCTATTCTGTAATTGAGTGACCACAAAATTACATGAGGTTAACTACATAAAGATTAATTTTAGGTTGTAATGATTTCATCTTGCTTGGGCACTTCTCTCTGTGCTTGATAGCTCGATCCCCACAATCCATTTGCCTTTCTTTAGGGAACTTACGTTTAGTGGCTTCAGTCCCTCTCAGTGGACAGACCCCAAACAACTATCAATGGGTCTTTTGATGCTTCCATTAAAATTTAGAGCCTATTGACAGTAAGCGGGGAGTTTTTTACCTGCTGCTTCTTAGTGGTAGCACCTCAGAGGTCCATGAACCACAAACCTAAAGATACCGAGAGCCTCTGTGACTTGCATAGAGTTACTCCACCTGTTCTGCAAAGGAGCCTGAATTAACCTTATCGATGAACAACCCTGAAGTTGTGGGCAATGTAAACTGCACGGGATGTGAAATGCATCAGCCATTTGAAATATGAGTTCAGAAAAGGTATTTATGCTCTAGTATAACAGAG